CAAGTGATGTTTAGTGTCATGTAGAGTAAGTGGATTCCTATTTTGCTTTGATGTAATATTCTTTAATTAAATTCTATATTTGAAAGGGTTAACCATACAAGTATCATGCCATATTTCCAATAGTTAGTATTTATCTGGTATCATGTGTGTTGCAGTGTGGCCTGACCAAGTTCTCATGATCCAAACGAGGAAAAAGGAAAGGAACGAGTTTTAGCACTTCTGTATACGTTTACATTATTCTTGCAGAGATTGGTGGAGGAAGTAGAATTCATTTTTGAGGGACTCCATTTTGCAGACATGAATCTTGTACCACAGACATCAACTTGCAGGGTCATTTGTCTCCAAAGCTCAATTTGGTCCTATTGTTTTGTTTTGCGTTAATTCTCTGCATCCTGATGTGATCTGTTGGTTGACTGAATAGAAAAGGGCGGGTTTTCCATTTTGGGTCTCCAGCAAATAAGCAAAAAGGACATCAATAGGTCCATTTTTAATTCCACAAACTTAAAATCCCATACTAACGTGGGGGTCTTATTTCCTCAAGACAGTAATTGCTTCGTAGATTTTACCGAATAATAGTAAAAGCTTTTATGCAATGGGAGGTCAGGAGATCTTTCATGCATTTTTTATTTTCTTTCTTGCAAAGTTTGAAGTTTTAGCTGACATACTTTCTCAGCTTTCTTTTTATGAAATAATATTGTTTGCATCTGCGTGTGCGGCCAAAGAATGACCGGCTCTCGTCGGAATGTCCTGTAGCCTGTAGTAATTGTTTGCAGCTGGTCTGCTGCCATGTTGAGGGCTTTCAGCTTCCAGAGGTCGACACTTTGATCGAATTGCCTGTTATTTTGATTTTAGAAAGAAAGGAAAGGAAATGAAATAAAATAAAACGTATTGTGCTAATTAATTATTGGGGTTCCAACTAAATTTCAAACTTCAGAATCCCTGATCAGTACTGATGAAGAATCATATCCTGAGGAACCTATGCCAAAACCACAACAATCTCGATTCATGGCAAGTAAATCAGGAGTCAAGGTTGAAGAAATGGATGTAGATGAAGAGGAAGCAGGACCTTCTCGTCCTCAAAGACAATCAGCAGCACCCACAATATCAAAATGGGCAGAACGATTCCAAGTATTCCATGCAAGTATAGTGTAGTAGACAAATTCATTACAAGA